CTCTGCTAGTTAATGACCAAAAGGCCCTGGCTTTGTAATTGTATATTGAATCTAGTTTTCTTTATTTGAAGAGACTCTTATTTGAATTTATTTCTTCTCTCTCTGCTAGATCCGACGGTTGATGTCCACATATATGTTTGAGACAAAAACAAGCAAGCACATAAATATAGCTCGTTAAGATATTACATGTAGATTGTTAGTATCCTAAAAACATAGACTGAATTAAAAGATACACTGGTATTTTAAACACAAAACAAAAGCTGAACTAACACATGAACATGGGTGTGGGACGATGTGCTTTTAGAGATAATCAAGCCGGATAGGAGTGGTGTGGACAGTAGAGGTGTGTACAAGGAGTGTGGACGGTGGAGGTGTGGACATGGGATGTATAGATGGGATACGTATAGAAGAATGAGGTCAGAACAAGCTCATCAAATCCGCAAAGTATGGGTATCGTTATAACTACATAAATGTTTAAAGACTTATGTATAAGAGAGTAACTTATTCTATGAAACTGCATAGCATACCTTTGCTTATATCACCACCTTCATGTGTCAAAGGCAACGAAGAACCAAGTGTGGTGACATAACATATTTGACACATCTTCATCACATCCACATTCACAACCCTACAATGGACCAGCACTTCTCCTTGTTCTTCATCACATCCACATCCACATCCACAACTCTGCTTGGCATATGCGCTTACTTGGCTTCAATGGAGTCTATGATGAAGATGAAGGTATTGTCATCTTCTCCTGCCAGCAATCACTGGATAAGTAAGAATCTGAAACAAAACACCAAATCTAATTATCTTTCAAAGTCATGATCCATAGACAAACTAAGCAATCTCAATCTTACACCAAAATCAAAGTTTGAAAGAAGCAAATCAAAATAAATAAGGAAACAACAAAAGATACTGACCTTTTCTCATAAAAAAAATGGTAGACTAGACTTGCTACAGTTTTAGGCTTATCTCTCTCTTCTCTAAGCTGCTACGCTTCATATCTCTCTCTTCCCTAATCTGGTACAGCTTATGAAGAACACCAATGGTTGTTACCTTCATCCCCAAAAGGAAAAGCTTAGCAAGCTCAAGGCGAAGGTTTTCTCTTATTGCCTCGTTGACAGTGACTCGGGGAAGTCATCGAGTCTTGATTTCAACTATGAACTTGAGACCCGACGGTTGTGCTTTGCTGTAACAAGAAAATCGATATTTTCTATTACGTCTGGCTCAGTGGATTCAGCGCCGGTGGTAGACAACAGTTTCCCAAGCTCATCCACAGTGGATCCCAAGCTCAACCCTGGCGTATCCTGACCCCATCCACTCACTAAAACTCAACCACAACTTCTTGAGCTGATCCACAGCAGATCCTGAGCTCAACCATGACGGATCTTGACCTCATCCACTCTCTGAAACTCAACCACAACTTCTTGAGCTCATCCATTTCGCTTCACTTTCCATGAGGGGATTTACAGTGAACGAGATAACGAAGATGTGGAGTGAGGATTGAAGACAATTAAAAACGGAGAGAGTGTTATTTATCCGAAGAATCAGACAATAACAGAGATCGATGGAGTGATGAGCATCGAGAGTGAGAGATTCATGAGAAACAAGGTGTTTGATTTGGGAATTAGGGTTACGAAATGGAGAATCTCAAGAATGACGGAGAGATACTCGACTTTGTATATTTTTTACTTTTAAAAATATTGCGAGTGGTCAAAGGAAAGAGAGCTGTGTGGAAGGACATGGTAGACATTCTACACTCAACAAGTGTGTCTCCAGCACCTTGTGTTTCAAAGAGTAATATGTAAGTGACAAAGTGTCTTAAAGGGTAAAAATCTCATGTATATATGTATCAGTTTTTGTTACTATTAAATATGGTTGTGGTGCAGGTAGAAACGTTACCATTAGAAACTTTAATATTCTTGTGCCAGTAGGATCTCTTGGACCCCATATGTTGTTGGGAGTTTTTCAAAGCGAACCCCATAACTTATTTCTCTTAGTTTTCCTATATAATAGACCATTCTCACAAAGCAAAGCACTCTAAAATCATACACAGAAACCCCAAAACAAAGCATTCTAAAATCTCAGAAGTTTCACGAAATGGGCTCAACGGCGGAGACACAGTCAACTCCAGTGCAAGTCACGGACAATGAAACTGCCCTCTTTGCCATACAGTTAGCCAGTGCCTCCGTTCTCCCTATGGCTTTAAAATCGGCTATCGAGCTCGATCTTCTTGAGATCATGGCAAGGAACTGTTCTCCCATGTCTGCATCTGAGATTGCTTCTCATCTTCCGACCAAAAACCCCGAAGCTCCGGTCATGCTTGACCGTATCCTCCGTCTTCTTACGGCTTACTCCGTTCTCACTTGCTCTGTCCGTACACTTCCCGACGGCGTTGACCGACTTTACGGGCTTGGTCCAGTTTGCAAGTATTTTACCAAGAACGAAGATGGTGTCTCGATGGCTGCTCTTTGTCTCCTGAATCATGACAAGGTCTTCATGGGAAGCTGGTAAGTATTTACGAAACCACACCGTATATTATCACACCAGTTCTGTTAATATCTAATCTAAACATCATATGAGCTATAATACAACATAATATGTATACGTATATATAAATCTTATATTGGGATTATTTACATGTTAAAGATGGCATTTCATAAGTTATGCTTCTTTGGTGATGTACTTAAAATACAGAAGAGAGAGAACAAAGACCTTTCGTTGACCCAAAAAAAGAGAACAAAGACCTTTATTTGTTACTGCACAAAAAAATATACTGGCGCTATCATTTGTTACAACGATTAAACAGAGTGGAGAACGAAATATATATTTTGAGAAAAATAATATATAAATAAAAACAGATAAAAAGGCATAAAATTCAAAATACGGGGGTTACTTGAACTTTGTTGGATTGGTTATCAATAAGATGGCAGTACATCACTTGCTTTAGAGCGTGGCCCGTTTGTCGATCTTATATTATGTGTGGCCACCATCAAGAACAGGTAGAAGCCATCGTATAGAGAGAACACGATGGTTATTCCCTGTGTTGTAAATGATTTATCTAATTCTATTCAAAGCGTTATAAATCCGAAAGTGTTACTTTTCACGTTCAAAAATTATATTGAGGTACAAATTGTTGGGAATACATGTATTTTGCCGGGGAGAAACTAATAACCGAATATTAGGTTAATTGTTTATTAGAAAACAATATGTCGCAACAGTATAAAATATCTGATAGTTCACAATAAGAGTTATAACAATAATGATTATACCAACGAGCTAATACAAATTGTGTCATACAATTTGAAAACAGATTTATAATTAGTGATGTTAAAAAGTGTAGACTTAATTGCTTCTTTAAGAAAAAATGTTGAAGGGTTATTCAGCCAAAGGAATGTGTGTCTGTTTGTTTGATTTCTTAAACTCATTTCAAAGAGATTTGTTGCAGGTACCATTTGAAGGATGCAATTCTTGAAGGTGGGATTCCATTCAATAAAGCTTATGGAATGAGCGCGTTTGAGTACCATGGGACTGACCTTAGATTCAACAAAGTGTTCAACAATGGAATGTCTAACCATTCCACCATCACCATGAAGAAGATTCTTGAGACCTATAAGGGTTTTGAGGATTTAGTCTCCTTGGTTGATGTCGGAGGTGGCATTGGTGCTACTCTCAAAATGATTGTCTCCAAGTACCCTAATCTTAAAGGCATCAACTTTGATCTCCCTCATGTCATACAAGATGCTCCTTCTCATCCCGGTATAATTAACATATTCTCGGCATGTTGCAAAATCTTTGTTTTCTTGTTTTCAGTTTGAATGGATTCTAAGCAATTATTGTAGGTATTGAGCATGTTGGAGGAGATATGTTTGTAAGTGTCCCCAAAGGCGATGCCATTTTCATGAAGGTTTGGACCCAAATCAATACTAATTCATAAACTGAAAACTCTTGACATTATGATGATCAAATAATTCTCGTTGGATTCTTCTCATTGTTGTAACAGTGGATATGCCATGACTGGAGTGACGAACACTGTTTAAAATTATTGAAGAATTGTTACGAGGCGCTTCCAGAGAATGGAAAAGTGATATTAGCAGAGTGTATACTTCCAGAGACACTAGACTCAAGCCTGTCAACCAAACAAGTAGTCAATGTCGATTGCATTATGTTGTCTCTCAATCCTGGAGGCAAAGAACGTACCGAGAAAGAGTTTGAGGCATTAGCCAAAGGATCAGGCTTCAAAAGCATCAAAGTTGTTTGCAACGCTTTTGGTGTTTACGTTATTGAGCTGCTCAAGAAGATCTGAGAAAAAGCTTTCTTAATGGTGCTTTATAAAATAAACATGCTCTCCTTTGTACGTCTACTTCACCAGCTTAATTGTTCTACTTATGTTATTGTTTGCGGTTTAGACTATTGATGTTTAATCATGGTTGCCGCGCGAGCTGTTTATCAATAAACTGTACTTGTGTTTTTGATTATTTGGAACAAAAAAAACTATGTATTTGAAGAATAATAAAAAACAAATCCTCTATATAGGTTTGAGACTGATGTGGCAAAAAGCTTAATGCACATTGAAGCTTGCAAGACTTGGTACTAGGTCCAGCTTTGGGCATACCGAAATTAAGCATTCGCTTCAGTCTATAAAATTCAAGTGGTTAATATATACTAAATATATGTCCCCATGTTAATTATCTAAACAACATGACTTGCAGGCTGTCCCGGCTTTGGGACCAATATTGTGTTTTATGCTTTCTGAACGAGATACGTACCGGAATCTTTCAGGAAGCAAAAATTTAGCTAAGCTAATGCATTTCGAACATTAATAGACCACACGCACACACATAGCAAATCTCATACTAAGTAATTAAGCATTGTGAATACACAAGTCTTCCAAAGCTATGTTGTTGCCCTACTAGTCAATTCAAAGATGTAAATGCAAAGGAGACTCTGTGAACAAAAGATGATCAAACAAAAAAGATGTAAATAGTTAGGTATTGTCAATCCATAGTTCTCCGCTCCATAGAGTCTGCTGAAGCATTGCAATGGGAAGACATCCACTGTGAACACGGAGCAGGCTTATCGCAGAGGCAACAGTAACACTGCATATATTCATGTTGACCTCTGTAGTTAATATAAAAGGCAGTTTCGTAGGAGTCTTGAACAAGATAATCCATTCCATACTTAAATCTTTTACTTAAAAACCCTTTAAAAGAAAATAAGACAGAAGTGATTACCAGATGACAATGGGTTGCATTAGGAGTTGATCCAAAGGGATAGTTTAAGCAAAGGTGTCTTGGATGTGGGTAATCTCTACAAGCCACCTGTTCAAAGAGATTCCATCAAATTTGCCAAAAAAATATATATATATATATTAGAAACTAAAAAACTATATAGTATAGAGATGAACCCTAAACCTAAACCCTAAGTTTCAAAACTCAAACCTGGCCTGTCTCATGGATGATAGCCAGATCTTTATCACGTTCATGATCGCCAGAAAACGAAAGATTTTTAACGTCGAAAGAATCAAAAGGATTGAAATCGAGGATGAAGCAATCCTCTGTTTCCTCGATTCGCTTCATGTCTTGTCTAGTTTTCAGAACAAGAGTGCCTCTGAGAGGTGTCACTTCCTCTTTCTTCGTCTCCATGTTCTATCCCAACTCGCTGAGATCGAACGGAAAAAGAGTGCAAGTCCAAACGTCGTACTTCCTTATGCAGTTTCAGAACGAAAGCTTTGATAGTTGCTTGACTTGTTTCTGACTATTATTTAGATTAGAAGGATCGATTACAGTTAGCAAGGCCTTAGAGCATGTGCAATGGTGTAACTAACCATTGGAATCCTTAAGCATTTTATAATATTTTTTTTGTTATTTGGTTACTTTTTGAATAGCTAAGAGTTTTTATGAAAATGCTAAGTCCAATAGTGTTATTCATAATAGAATCCTTAGAAATAAAAAAATCTTTTTGTTCTCTCTTAAAGATTCAGGTTTTGTTGTTCATATAGGATCAAGAGGAACAAAAGAAAAGGTTTCATCGCTAAAGAGATGTTTTACCTCGTCTTTTTGATTAGGATCAGCTCCAGCTTTAAGTAAACAGTTGATTAACTCAAAATCTCCAATATCAGTAGCAATGTGCAACAGAGTTACAACACCAGCAAAAACATTAGCTTTGGCACCTGCCTGTCAACAACAATAAGAACCAAGCTTGATCTAAGATGTATATAGCAACTAAAATAAGACAACACTGCAAACTAGGAGCATCTCAAACCTTGACCAACAGCTCTAAGGATGCCACAGAACCAGCTGCCACTGCAGATAACAGAGTAGAGAAGACTGTTGGCATAAGAAAACCAGAGTAGAGAAGAAGTTTACCAATAGCAACCAAGTGAGAAACAGTAAGGGCTTTAGCAAGCTGATGATGTTGAGAACGTCCATTAGCAGAGTCGACATGTTTCCTTCGGACCAAACTCCTGAGACAGCCCCATGAATGTCCACCTCCTTCCTTTTGTGTATCCACCAGGAAACCCATCGGAGTCTCCTCAAACCTGTCCCAGCAGCGTGATGCAATGCAGTAGCTCACTCAAAGCATGTGAAATCCAAAAGAGTTTGAACAAAAGCTACAACTATTGAATACTCAGACATCAAGTTTCAAGCAGTACACACACACACACACATGAAAAGGTTTAGACTTTTCTAACCTCAACGTGAACCTCTTTAGCCTCTGATGCTTGAGAAGCACTCCACAAGGTTTGAGAATGAGGAGGAGGAGGAGCAGTGGTAGCGAAATAATCCTCATATTCATCGTCACTATCAATATCAGCCCAAGCCTTAGCCTTTAGAGGTGTAGGAGCCCAAAAGACCTGTGGCTCAGCCTCCTTAACCGGTTCTGTGACCTTAACAGACTTCTTCTTCTTCCTCCGAGTATCCAAAGCTGCGAACAAGTTTGTGTTTTGAATCGTCGGTTTCATCGATCCTTCCTCTCTCCTGTTTCCTCCACCACCAACCATCTCTTCACGATTCAGATAAGCTTAAAGTTTGTTCCTTTATGGAAACCCAGTAACGGAAACTCTCGATTTCACCTGGATCGAACAATGAGGAAGAGATAAAAAAAAAATTAATTTGATTTCTACGATGATCTGATGAGCAGCGATTCTGGAAAGTGATTGATAATTAAGGTTAGAGAACCTAAAACAGAAGATGATGTGTGGTTTTTTTGAGAGAAGCAGAGCTTGCTTGTGGCAACGGATCTTCATCAGATCAGTTCACTTTTTTTTTTCCCCACCCAAAACAGCAACAAAACGACGTTGCCACCTCATAAGGATTACCCTTTCAGAAATCCTTAGGTAAGGATTAATTCACCCAGTAACATAGCTTTTTATTATTATTTAATTAAAATCTGACAAGGATTTTTGCTAAGGATTAGTTAAAAACCCCCGTTGCACATGGTCTTAGTAACATTAGCCTACAATTAGGCCCATTTAGTTTTCCTACTAAAAAATATAAATCACAGCCACAACACCTTACTTTTTCTCTTTTTCAACTTTACACATCACATTATTTTATTATCGTTTTAATTTCTCCGTAATCAATAAAAATAATATTATTTTGACACTAATGCAATTTTTAAGTAGCTAAAAAGTTCTTCTGTATTGTCTTAAGTTGGAAGGTGTTTCACAAAAAGGTTTCTTTTGTACAAAATTCCTTAGTAACAATTAAAGGGGACTCTCGAAGTTGACTGACAGACGAAGCAGCACACAAAAATGGACCGAAGGGGTGAGGAAGAAGAGAAAATAGAATTTTAAATAGACACTACTACATGTTTGTTATTATGTAGTCAAACACTCTTGTACGGTTCACCAATATTTTATCACGCAATAAACTTGTATTATTTGGACTCTAAAGATTACAATATTGTTTTTTCAAAAAAAAAAAAAAAGATTACAATATTGCCGCCTCGTTGTATATATATCTACAGCGTTTTTAATTATGTGTACTCACTACTTCTTTTATCGTCTATTATTGCATCATCATAATACGAGTATTTTTATATAATACTACTCTGCTCAAATGTTATAAAGATCATAATTATACGAATGTCAATTTTGTGTTCAAAAAAAAAAAATACGAATGTCAATTATAAAAATTTAAATATTTTAATTTTATGTTTATATCAGTTGATCTTAATCTACTAAATTTAAAGGAGGAAATAAATTGGCTCAAAAAACAATTCTATACATTGCAAATTCAAAGAATTTTTATATCCTGACTTATTGATTACTACTACTACATAACTTTAATATTCAAATTGCATACACGAAATGTCATTTTTGAACTCAAATAAACTACTACATTTTAGCATAGTTGGAAGATTCATTTATGGTTGATTTGAAGGAAAACAATAGGATAAGCTAAGTTGGTGAAGTTTTTCAGCTACATTTAACTTTCTAAACTCATAAGCTAATCCGTTTGCAGCTTTGCATACTCTCGATCGTATATTCGTACTTGGCGTTAAGTGCTATAAACCTAATAAACAATCTTTTTAAAAGTTTTTATTATTTGAACAATTTTTTATAAGTTTTGGAATTCATTTATTTCATGAAATATTGTACAAATTTAAACGAGCTTGAGAAAATACAAGTATATACGCACCTTGGTTCGTTAGACTTATTATATGCACGATTCGAATAACTGATAATACCGAATCATCAGTTGTGAATATCATGTCGAGCAACCGACCGAAAGGATGTACAACTCATTTCTATTTTTCATTTATTTTACGTAACAATTCATTTAGGTGCCAAAGGTAAATAGGTTACATCGATAACACTTTTTTCTATGCATCTGTTTATTGATATAATCTAGTAAACGTTCTGTGATAATGACGTATCACTTAACACGGTAGGTATGACTTTGGATTAATTTTTCTCATTAGGACGTTGAAAATTGAGATATCCAATTGTTGTTTATAAACACCTTTGGACTAAAAATAACTTAAGTACATGGACTATTTAAATGATGTAAATTACACGTTACTTACAAAATATGATAAAGGTTATTCTCTGATTTTGAAAGAACATTATTTTAAATAGTTATGTCGCAAAAGTCATGTTTTGTTATTTTTTCCCTTGTACTGAATAGTAACATGTATAACAAAAATTGCGGAATACATATAATACATTTTTATAATACAGGTATATTTTTAAATTAAAAAATAATGGTGCTAATACAATTTAACAAGTACTTAAATTTATAAAAATATATTAGGGATGTGCTGGAGCTACGCGCCGGATGTTCAATATTAGGTGTTATTAATGTATACATTCTTGAGGATCTGTTTTTGTTAATTTCCCCCCGGGGGAAAATTTTTTTTGTTGGTAGTTGGATGTTGTTTTTTTTTTTATTGTCACTGGGAATATTTTGTTTGTGCTAGTTATTCCCATTTTATTTGTTGCTGTTTTTTGGTTAATGACTAACGTTGAGTTCTTTTAGTGTTTATTTGACGTGATTGAATGATTTTCGTCTGAGTACTATATCTCTGCATGTTGATTTCTTTTCTCATCGGAGATTGGTAAATGGACTAAATTTATTAAGATTGATGGAGTGTATAAGGGGAATGAAAACATGGAACTGCATAACATAATTAAATAACGAAACAAATTTGGTGATCTGCTTAAAGTAGAAACACGTAGCACAGCGGATGTTGATGTCCTCACGGTGACAGTTGATTGTCTCCCTTGTTGTTTCGTATGCAGTAAGGTAACTGTCAAGGGTTGTTACTTTAATTCCATGGAGGGAACGCTTAATGTTTTTCCAGCACTTGTCTATGCAGCCCATGTTCTGTCTCCAACCCAGCTTCTCCACCATTGCTTTTCCTTCCTCTTCTTGTCCTCTGCATAACATAATCATTCCGTAAAGGTAGATTCCGTTTTCATACAAACCTTGAGCTGCGATTTTGAGATGGGACAGACCCACCGTGGTATTGTTTTTGTGGAAGTACTCCTGGATTCCACGGACATAGTGAACCTCTATGTTTCCTGCAGCAAGAGAAAGGTCCATGAGATCCTTGTACCTTCTCAACGAAGCGAGGGGATGAATGGTGAGTTGTCGTAGGTTGATGTTTTTGTAGACCTGTGGCTGTGCTGCCGCTTTTGACAGCCTTGGACTCGCCTCCATGATCTTGCGGACTTCTTTCCGGGAGCTTTTAGAAGAGCATACCCCCAACAATCTTTGGATTGATGCTTGTGGCTATGACTATTCTTGGCTCTTTCTTATGGCTGTCAAACTTGGTATGAAACACAAGAGCCATAGAGTCAAACATACTAACACAAACGTTTTCCCCACTGAAAAAACATATACAGCTATACAGTTACAAACGTTTTCACCACCTTGAAAATCATCAAACAAAAGAGCTGAATCTTTAAAAATAAAAACCACCTCTCAAGATGCAAGGTAAGCATGACACGCTGCGCCCCTGGTATGCGGTCAGTGATCGTGCTCCTGATAGCATTCACCTTCCCAATTATGTCTGTTAGAGAATGGATGGATTATAAATACAATAAAAGGGAAAACCAAGGACATCGCAAAGCCTCAAACCACTTACCAGGAAGCTGTTTCCCTGTGTTTGCAAGTTCAATCAAACGACTATAGAGCATGAACCGGAAAGACTCAGTAGGTATTGGTCTATCAGGGTTCAATTTCTTGTCAAAGCTCGTGCCATCGTTGAACCGTATCATCAGAGGAGCATCACATAAACGGAAGTTGGGGCCACTCTGGACAACGTCAAACCCACTCAATGTGTACACTGATCCTTCAGTGAGGCGATCCCGGAACCTGAGCTGGCGAGTAGCAGCAACAGTTCCTTACATCACGGTTGCCTGTTGGAAAGCAGTAAAAACACAAAGCAGAGAGAAAGCTTCAGAACCATAACAGAGACAATCTTTAAAAAATAATGGAAAAGGGAAAAAGATCTTACATCAGTTTCTACAAACAGCATGTCCACACTCATCAATTCGCCACCTTTCCTCACGTTCCGAGCTTCCCAGAATCGGAGTAATCGGACCTCCGCCGTGTCGGAGCACCGGCCGGATTTCATGTCGGAGAGTAATATGTTGTAAAGAGCCATCGTAATCTCAAGTAAATAAATAGACAGTGATTTCTCTTCTCTCTAGAGTCGTGAAACACACTTCTGAAAGAGGGGTTATTTATACTTGAAGGAAAAGAAGTCGAGCTATGAAGTCCAGGAGACGTCTTGAATGAGGGGAGGTAGAGTGAACACAGATTAATGTGGAGTAAAGGAGAGAAGAAGAAAGAGTCGAAACGTCCACCGTTGCATCGTAGAGTATGGCGAACTCTACCGATCCATGGCGTCGGCGGAAGAAACAAAGAAATATATTTCCTGACATTCACGGCCCTTAACAATAGGAGGACCAAACATAAGCATAAACCCACCACGAAAAAATCGGAAGTCCCATTAGAAAATATTTTTCCCCCATGGAGAGATAACAACCCAACTTTATATTTTAAATAGTTATGTCGCAAAAGTCATGTTTTTTAATTTTTTCCCCTTGTACTGAATAGTAACATGTATAACAAAAATACATGTATAACAAAAATTGCGGAATACAATTTAAATTAAAAAATAATGGTGCTAATACAATATAACAAGTACTTAAATTTATAAAAATACTAGGGGTGTGCCGGCACTACGCGCCGGATGTTCAATATTAGGTGTTATTTTATATATAATATTAACCAAAAATAATAACATTTTATTTTTCCAAATATTTATTTGTGACTAGAAAATATATATGTAAGTTCACAAACTTGAAAAGGTTAAATAGTTTACATTAATAAAAGCTTAGTGACATAATTAAGAAGTGGTTGTTAAGAAAAGAAAAACATAAATAAATTAGTTTAGAAAAAAAAATAAAGCTAACAACTAACAACTCTATAAAAGTAAGAAACATCTGATGATAAAGAGAAGTGAGAAACATCTTTTAAACTTAAAAAATAAGATAGTTTTGAAACTTTTGAAGAAAATTGAATTATAATCAACATTTAAACGCAATTGTTAAAACATAAAATTTTCAATATTTGACTAAGTTTCAAAAATATACATATGAAATAAATATTGGAGTTAACTTTTCATGTTAAAAATATTTATTAAGGTACTTATTCCAGTTGAGTTTGTATTTGGTATAAGCGTTTATGCGATTTTTGAAAATTTTCAAAATTTTAGGATATCCTTTTGATTCGGATTCAGATTTTTGGGATATTCCTTTCGATTCGAGTTCAGATAAAACCCAAATGCCGTAGAAGAAAATCCATTTGGATAATTATGTCAGGTTCATTTCGGTTCAAATTTACCTTTTATCGGATTAGTAGATTTTCGGGTTCGGTTATTTGTCCATCCCTACTTTCATATGCTCTATACTTGTACGCGTGACTTCTGGTTCTATACTTTTATGTCAGAAGTGTTCACAACATCTTTCAAAGGAGTAGGTGAGATGCTTCTCTTCTTTTTCATAAGAAGTCTAATCCTATGACAAGATCACACGTATCTAACCAGAAATATACGTATAAAAATGTAAAGGCTATCAAATTATTGTGCTTTGATGTTCTGTTGTGGTTGGTATGAATATACAAAAAAGAATATATTGTTTGGTTAAGAAATAAAATAAATATAACCAACTATGACTTGGAATAACTAACAAAAAAAATGATATGATTTCCAATTCCACTTTTAATAATGGATTATGTTTGCATATGCACTTTTAACCGTTCATAGATATTTATCATATATTATAATGGATTATGTTTGCATTTTGTTGTAACATAAAATTAACAACCCAGTTAAATTATTTAATGATTATAAATTAGAAGGATAACCAGTTTTTGTGCAAAGAATTACAGACTTACTCAAATGAAAATTCTCAAATAAACATTCTAACATATAAGGTTTGAATAGTTATTTGTGGTTCATTTGTATTGTTATTTGTGGTTCATTTGTATTGTTACATATGTGGATTTAAATGGTTTACTTGACTAATTAGTATATTATAATTGTATTATTACATACGTTAATATATTCTTCATACCAGTTAATTAGGGATGGGTATAAGCCAAGTACTTGCCAATTTTGGCTTACTTGATACTTGGCTTGGCTTGTTAAAATTTGGACTTGTACTTGGTTTATTAAAAACGAATACTTGCACTTTCAAATATTTGCTAAAAAAACAGTATACTTGCAAATACTTACCCCCTTTTACTACTTGTTACTTCTAGACTACTTTATAAATTATTATATAATTATTTGTAAGTTATTTAATAATAGTTTGTTAATTTTAGCTACTTAAATCTTGTTTATGAATTTAAGAAAAAATTAGTTAATTTATAATTATTATAATTCTAATCTAACAAATTTTTAATAAAGAATATTTCTTTGTTTTAAGTCGATATATGATAAATATAAAATTAAAAGAAAACTCTAAAATATTTTTATAATGTATCACTTTTAATTTATTTATCGTATAAACAAGTAATTTGATTATAATTTAGAATTTTTTTTGTCTAAAAATAAAAACGGGTAATAAGTCAAGTAATAAGTCACGAGTAACAAGTCAACAACACCAAGTAGTTGTTTTTATTTTAGTACTTGGTACTTTTCTTGTACTTGCATGTAATTGAAAACGGATAATGTTGTCGAGTATCAAGTCGGGTGATATGTTCATAGCAAGAAAAAAAATCGGGTTCATAACCATAACACTAAAGCTATGATAGGTTATGTAATGTTGTGATTCTAGACTAAAATACCCCTTCATGTGGTAATAAACGTCCATATCATATACTATAAAGACGGGTAATAATTTCGAGTATCAAGTCGGGTGATATGTTCATAGCAAGAAAAGAAAATTGAGTTCATAACCATAACAACACTAAAGCTATGATAGGTTATATAATGTGGTGATTCTATACTAAAATATCCCTTCATTTGCGTGTAAAGGAAAAATTATTTTTTTATTTTTACATAGTAAACCAAAATATTTTTTTCACTTCTAATCTGTTTGAATGCGACGGCGAAATGAAAAGTATGCTTGTGAATCTGAGTTGGAGAAGAGAGAAGAGTAAATCGGCAAATTTCTCGTGTTGTGAGAGATTGCGTTTGGACAACATGGGTTTCCGCATACCTATAAATTTATGATCAGGTGATTGCAGTGCTATAGACAAATAATAAAGGTATGTTCGGTTTGATTGAATAGCATAAAGAGATATCTACTATGTTTCACCGCCATGGATAAACGGGAAATTAATTTGAAACACTGTCCATTTTGCAGATCTGGTGGGAACAGTCTTCGAGGAGTCACGAAAAAATCAGACAATTGTTTGTTATTCGAAATCAATGTTATGGAATTTGATATGTATCATTTATAAGTGAAGTTTGCATATTTGAATTTGTGTTTGCTGCGGTTTTGGCCACTGAAGTTTCTTGGGAGGGTGAAAAAGAAGAAATATTATACTATACTATACGAACAACAGAGATAGTTTGGTACTTCAATACAAGCAATTGGCAGAGTTCCAGGTCCGGCAAATTTTGCTTATGGGATCCCATACATTTTCAGTTATGTTTGTACACCAGTTGTTGCCACATCAATTAGTTACCCGTTGTATGTGTCCATTCTATATTACATTGCTTATAGTTTAGAATGGGGTCAACAATTTTCATAATTGATGGATAGAAATTCTTATGTATTGTCAATGAAAGATTGCCTTACGGTAATCATTTCCATGTGTGAAGAGTGTGTCCTCCTCTAATTGCATCTAGCTATGTAGATGAACTTGTTTTCTTTCATATGATACAGTCCATTCTATATTTTGTTATATGGTATTGTTTAATTTTTTCCAGCTTTTATGTATTGTCTTCATTGTATCACACGTTCATTTATATTGTCGCATTATGCTGTATATGTATATTTTTCTAGTTACAGCTTCACGTTATGTTAATAGTACCCATTTGTGAATGAACATCACTGTTGTCGACGCATCACCCCCCCCCCCTCATTTTCGATTGTATTTGTGTGCAAACACCATACCAATATCGACGATGCTACGTTGTTCTGGTGTTCTAATTTGGCAAGTCCATTCTATATTATAGCTTGTATAGAATGCTTGTAGTCATTTTCAAAAACACGGTTGTATTATCTAGTGCATGTCTCCATTTGTATTAGTACAATTCACCTATGGCATACTACTACCTTTTATAGGTTTCATGCATGCAATTTGAGCCAACAGTTTGAATTACTTGTTATTCCTTTAAGTCCATATCCAGCGCATCTTTCATATACTATAGTAAATAATGCACAGTGTTGAACTTGATGTCGTGTAAGCTACTAATGTTCGTGCATAGACCTTGAGTTAATTGAATTGTCCATGCTATATTATATCGTTTATAGTTTAGAATTAAGTCAATAGTTTCATAACACACTATGCAGAGGTTTCTTATATATCACCAATGGAAGACTACCAAACATATTTCTTGCCATGGTGAAACGTGCAGCCTACTCTAATTGCATCCAACTGTTTAGATGAACTTGAATTTTCCCTTCCTTTCATATTATACAATCACTTTCTATAATGTTTTTTATATGGCATAGTTCAATGTTTTTGTAGATTTGCTAGATTTCCTTCATTGTACGCACTTTCATGTACATGGGCGCCTTCGCTTTATGTGTATTTATTTTCCAGTTACATCTTAATGTTATGTTCATGCCTTAGAAGAATCTAAGGTTAACTTATATAATATCCTTTTATGAAAGATCATCGTTGTTGCCGCACCAACACCCCATTTTGAATCGATTTGTGTGTACACGTCATACTAATAATGGAAATGTTACATTCTTAATGATGTGTAACTTGACCGGTCAGTTCATTACTATACCTCGCATAGTATAGAATTCTTGTAGCCATTTACAAAATCGCAAGCATGTGCGGTTTATTATCCCGCGCATACCTTTGTTGATGTGGTCGTTAGATTCATCAATAGCATGCTGCCTACTTTGTATAGGTTCCATATTTACAAATGGAATCAACTTCTTTCTTTTTACTTGTTATTCTTTGAAGTCCATATACATTGTCTAAGCCTATACTATATTTAATATACTATAGGTTTTGGTTTGATGTCTTGTAACCCATAGAGCTACATATTATCCTATATCATATGAATTATGCTAAGTCACTTTCCACTGCGGTAAGAACAAATTACGAGAACCTAGCTGGATTCTAAATACGTTTATATTTGTGTTATGATAGAGATTTGACAAGTTATATCTATATCATATGTTTAGTACAAAAGAATGGAATACATGGTTTTATCTTTTTATATTATACTCATGCGCCTAGAGGGAGAGAAAGGAAAATTTGTTGGCCATCTATACGTTCGATATTATTTGATGACTATATTCTTAATTGTTGAGTCTCATGAATATTGAGCAAATTGATTCTTTCAGTATTGTGGTTTTTTCAGTTTGACACTACTTTCCATGTAATTTTTTAAACAAAATTGTTATTGATCAAAACTAACAGTTGAACATTAAAGAACTAATCAATTATATTTTTTCAATTATAAAATTATTATCGGCTTTATATCAGATTCTGATAGATTTTTTTGTTTCTGTTACAGAACTTTGATGACAAATTTTTTTATTGGACACTTATGAGTTATGACTCACACTTGAACATGTTTAGGCGTAGTTTGTTTTCTTGAAAATATTAAATGACAGGCTAACATAAGCTTACGAATTATGGTTAATTAGATGAATCTGCGTTGTTGAAAGTAAAATTTGGCAGTAAATAGAATTGTATAGTACTAGTGAGGTCTCGCTTAAAATGGCATACTTATTATAATCGTTACCGAACGTAATAGCTTTATAGCAAGTTTAACCAGACTGAGTTTAACATATGTGATATATATTGTGTTAGAGAAGTCGATATGTGTAGTATACTGAAGCATCGTTTGTTTCTAATGTTAAAGGGTATTGGATGAAGTATAATAAAGACTTATTGTGTTTTATAGAGGGGCGGTAAATTCGTAAGAACTTGTTTGACGTATAACTATAGAAATAGTTATTTTTCAGTGCTTTTTTCAAGTAGTTTAGAATCCATTTCTGCGATTTTTTTTTTCAGAATTCGATTATAATATGTCCCTTTTTCACTTGTTGTAAAGTTGGATATATATCGGATATTGTCTATCCAACTGATAAAATGCAAAAAAAATGATTTGTCAGTTAAGCCATCTTATAAAAAAAGTAATTAAGCCATGTAGTAAATTACAAATAAGCTAGTCGTCTACCTTCTTTTTATATAGTTTGCATATAAATAAACCTCCTACTTCTCACATCTCACCCATCACATAATTCTCTCAAAACACAGATTAAGAACTCTAAGAATATCTTAAATTAGATTTCAAGAAAATGGGGTCAACGGCGGAGACACAGATAACTCCGGTACAAGTCAGCGACGACGAAGCCGCTCTCTTCGCCATGCAGCTAGCCAGCGCCTCCGTTCTTCCGATGGTTTTAAAAACGGCTTTAGACCTCGATCTTCTCGAGATCATGGCCAAGAACGCTTCTCAGATGTCTCCGTCTGAGATTGCTTCTCAACTTCAGACCACAAACCCTGAAGCTCCGGTCATGCTCGACCGTATCCTCCGTCTTCTTACGTCTTACTCCATCCTCACCTGCTCCAACCGTACTATTCCTGGCGGAGACGGTGTCGAGAGGATTTATGGGCTTGGTCCGGTTTGCAAGTATTTGACCAAGAACGAAGATGGTGTCTCCATTGCTGCTCTTTGTCTTATGAACCAAGACAAGGTTCTCATGGAAAGCTGGTAAGTATTTTGATATCACCAAGAAATATTATCATATTAGTCAAAAACATTCCCCAACTCAGACCAAGGTTGTAGTAAAAAAAATCAACTATGTTAAAATAAGCAAGTTTTTACCGAAACTGAAAAGATCATCCAATAGGGCATATGAAAAAAAAATCTTATGCTATAAGTCTAGCTAGAAAACTCTTCTTTGTTATTGATAATGTTGTTTCGTAAGCTATCCCTCTTGGTTGATGTGGGAATTAATTTGCAATTCTTGAAAGGTAAAGGTAAGAGAGTTGGCCACAAAATTGAAAAGACAAATCAGCCAAAAACAGACAAAATGATGTTGTTTTGACACGTATTCTATTCCTATTGTCCACTAAGAAACTATTTTATATACGATTTTATAGTGGTTAAGCGAGCTCCATACTTTGAAATTTTTGTTTGTTACTGTGCCAACAACAACCATACAACTAATGAAGAAAACTTAAAATAATTATTTAACGTTTTGGTTTTCCTCATCGAACCGGCTGGTTGTCTCTATATGAAATTCACCAATTATAAACTTGACGTGGATCTAGCCTGATCATAAAGTAGAGTTCAATCTTGAGATCAGTTTTAAAACAGATTATCCTAATTATTGATAACCAAAAGGTGAAGATACCATTTGAGAGTGTGTGTGTGTGTGTTTACTTAAAATCACGCCAACATGTGACTTGTTATAGGTACCATTTGAAAGATGCAATTCTTGATGGTGGGATTCCATTCAACAAGGCTTATGGAATGAGCGCTTTCGAGTACCACGGGAAGGACCTTAGGTTCAACACGGTCTTCAACAATGGAATGTCTAATCACTCAACCATCACAATGAAGAAGATTCTTGAGACCTATAAGGGTTTTGAGGGATTGACTTCTTTGGTTGATGTTGGTGGTGGCATTGGTGCTACTCTCAAAATGATCGTCTCCAAGTACCCTAACCTTAAAGGCATCAACTTTGATCTCCCTCATGTCATCGAAGAAGCTACTTCACATCCAGGTATAATACATGATTTTACTAACGACAAAAATTCTGATTTTCGTTAGATATGATTTGAGAGATTTGACTTATTGTTGAATAATGTTAGGTATTGAACATGTTGGAGGAGATATGTTTGTAAGTGTCCCTAAAGGTGATGCAATTTTCATGAAGGTTAGTGATTATAACACAAGACTCTATCATTACAAGTATAATTCATCAAGCGTAATGAATCTTTTTTTAATCTTTATATACACTATCGTTCGATTTGTCTCATTGTTGTAACAGTGGATATGCCACGATTGGAGCGACGAGCACTGCGTGAAGTTCTTGAAGAACTGCTACTTGGCGCTTCCAGAGGATGGAAAAGTGATATTAGCAGAGTGTATACTACCAGAGACACCAGACTCAAGCCTGTCGACCAAACAAGTAGTCCATGTCGACTGCATCATGTTGGCTCACAACCCTGGTGGCAAAGAAAGGACCGAGAAAGAGTTCGAGGCGTTAGCTAAAGCATCAGGCTTCAAAGGCATCAACGTTACCTGCAACGCTTTTGGTGTTTACGTTATTGAGTTGCTCAAGAAGATCTAAAACAACACAAGATAAGCATTGCTCTCATGTCTCATGTCTACGTCTACTTCACCACCTTTGTTTTTACTATTATGATGTTTAATAGTAATGCTTTACTAAGAGATTGTTCAGAGTTTTTCATTGATCTGGTTGTATTGATATATCTTATTTGTGTTTTTGTTTGTTCGGAAAAAAATCATGTAACTAAAGAAAAATAATATAATGAGACTGAATCAAATCTTATCTTGTATAGACATCACATTCACAGAAACTCCACGTTCACAAATTCTTCCTTTATGATGATCATATAAACTATTAAAAGATTTTAAGGTTTTATTGATTACTTGTATAAAAACTGTTCCTTAAACAGCTTATTACAATTCTACAAACTAATTTTGAATCATCTAAACTTCAGTCTATGTAGTAGTAGTAGTTTGACTCTGACTTGTTGTTTCTTGACGCTCACGTTTTCTTCCACCATTAACAATCCTCTTCCCAAACCCTAAAAGAACAGGAGGAACAAAACCTCCTCCTCCTCCGGTCAAAGCGCAAACAACCGCAACAGCTCCACCTATGAACAACAGTTTCTTCAAATTTGCAGCTACGTTTCCTCCGTTCTGTGTAACGGGAGTTTCAGTGACAGGCGATGCACCGTTGCTGAGGGAGATGAGATGTTCTGATGTGACTTTGGTGTTGATCTGAGCCATTACAGCTGGCCGGGAAAGCTTGGATCCTTCTCCTCCTGAGAGTCTTTGCTCTTGGTAAGCGCGTAGACCAGGTTCCATCTTCTTCACTGCTCCCCACATCCCTCGTTTCACTCCCAGCTTTGCGATTTCTCGAGGGATCCCCATGTCTTCGTGGTGAAACAAAAGTACTTCGCAGGCACTTGCTACTCCATCCTCTCTCCTTGATTCCACTGCATAATCATTTGACTTTGTTAAGTTATTTCAATTATAGGAAAATCACAAAGTGGTTGATGTGGATACTTTTAGTTACCTGGTCGAATGCACCAGCTCGAGTAGAACAATTCCACACGTTTCTGTTTGTTGTTGCGTGGTATAGAAGGAACTGATACTCCCTGAAGCAACCACAAGAGACAATACTCGAGTGTTATTACAATAACTTGACATAGATATCTAGTTATACTCTTTGTTCACACCAAATATAGCAGATTCCATTTTGATACCTTTGTAACACAGTAATAAGATTTGCCACAGTTCCAAATCCTGCGACCAATCACATACTCTCTATCACTGCAGAAGAAGGGGAACTGCGACACATAAAAGGGCGTAAAGTCAACAAACACAGAAAGAAAGCAAACAATCATCATCAACAGAGAGAGGCTAGCCAACCTTGCGTATCCATCTAACAATCATGGTTCCAGTAGTTGTACACTCTTCAACAGTAGTGGAACTAGAGAGCATTGTATCCCAAGTTGGTCTAAACTTATCATCCCAGAAAAAATCTCTTAACATCTCAGGAGTTGCATCTTCAAACACAGTTCTGCTTCTATACTCAGTAGGACCGTTCTACAACAAACAACACACAAAACATATCACTGTGAGAAATAACAAATCCATCAAAGACAAAAAAGATGAATCTCTCTCTCTCTATATATTAAAAAAAAAAATAATAACAAGTGTTACCTTGGGTTCTCTTAACCAAGCTTGATATCTCATACCAGGAGTAAACCGGTCCATCATCTGAATCCAAGCATGACCACCATCTTTCCTCTCAACCAACTGCACAAGATGTCTCAAATCTAACTCGGTTACAGTATTAGGCAACCTCTCCTCTGTTTTCTTCCCTCTACCAAAAAAAAAAAACAAGAGAAAACACAATCAACAAAAAGAACTATTTTTCTTTTTTTCTACAGAAATAAACTCATCCTCAAAAAAAGAATAAAGCTTACCCAGTAATCACATCTACACCATCAGAAGAATCACATGATGAAGAAGAGGAAGAAACAGGAGAAACTGTCTTATGCTGTCTCAAAGCCATAGTCCACGTGTCGCAAACAAGAGCTTTCAAGCAAGGAGCAGAACCAAAACCCTTCAAAGGAGAATTTGCGGAGCGAGGAGAAGGAGAAGATGGTAAAGACAAATCAAAAGATCGAGGAGCAGAACATCGAAGTTTGACTCTTTCCTTGTCATCATCATAAGAAGCCCATCTGGGTCTCCATGCCCATCCTATGAGCAACCCAACAACGAAAGCTAACCATCCTGCGATTAGCCCTAAGATCAAACTCACGAGTAAAGCCATAGTCTTTCTAAAAAAGAAGCAAAAAGGGTATCTTAAAAGGATAAAAGTTTTGTTGGATAAATATAAAAACAAAAAGAATCACGAGAGGGAGAGAGAGGCGGTGAGAGGAAGACGACAGAGAGAGAAAGGGATAAGGAGTGGTGAGGAAGAAGCTTATGGTTTTTTAATAATAAAAAAGAAATGGACTTTTCATGTAGCCATTGATGGAGGTTAAAAGGGCATTGCTTTTTAGAGGAGAGGAGAGGAGAATGGTGGACGGACGGAGAGTGTGAAACGACGACTACCGTCCATCTCAGACCAATTCTGTAATTTCCTCTTTTAGGGTTTATTTTTTCTTTCCACGATTAAATCGTGTGGGGTTTATTATTTGGGGACATTTACATTTATATCGATGTTTTTTAAAACCGGTTAGAGATCCAAACCGAATAATTTCATGGTCATAGTTCATTATGGTCTGATCTTACGAATTATATATTTGTTTTTAAATATAATAGATAGTCTATGTATAATTAGAGTATGAATTTATATTGAAAATAAAGCATTGAAATTATTAAATTAAAATAAAATTTAAAATAACTTATAATATGACATATTTTATTTAAAATAAAATATATTAAATAAACATTAAAGATAATGAAGATAGTGAAACTTAATAAGATTATAATTTGTCATAAACCGAAAAAGGAAAACCTATAAATCTAGTGTTTATTAAGTATAAATATAATTAACTAATATGAGATTTTTGAAAGTATGAATGTAAATATGTTAAAAAAAATTAAAAAAATTCTTGAATTTGAGTCAATTAATTCATTTATTATTTTTGGATAAAAAGTTAACTTTTAATTCATTGATTATGTTCGGTTTATGAGCTTCTGACGGTTAAAATGGTTTTTTAAATTCAAATTGGTGATTACATGTTAGAGGAATAATTTTTTATTCTTCTAATTCTATACTAGTCATGTTTAATTACTTGTTAATTTAATAATATGCAATTCCTATTTTCCTCATATTTAGATGGAAACTATTCGTTCTAACTTTTGATGAGGAGCAAATGAAAAAAATATTTAACATTTATTCATCACCATTCTTGTTTTTATATTCATTCATTTCCTCCATTGAAATTTGTCTATTTATTTATGTATTCCTTTGATTCATCAAAGTGTCATCAACTAGACCCTAGTTTTTTAGGTTTGATTGAAATCTTATCCGATTATATATCTAGTCCATTGTTGAATCCGGTCCGATTACCATGTTGGTTTGATTTAAAAACATTGATAATCGTAGCAGCTTATACCGTAACGCTGTAAATTGTGTAGATTTTGACTTGACTACGAGTTGTATAAAATTTGACTTTTTGGAAGACTTGACCATGGAATTTTGTGTACTACCGTCTACCATTACTCGGCATTAACTCATCCATGTTCACGAAATTTCCAAGTAAGATCTCTACACTCTGTGTTTATAGAAGAAAGAAAAAATGTTGGTTACATGGGTCTTCACGAAATTTCCAAGTAAGACCTCTACACTCTGTGTTTATAGAAGAAAGAAAAAATGTTGGTTACATGGGTCTTCCATATTGAACTGTTGATTTTCTCATGTTTCACTGAAATTTATTTTCATAAAAAGGTATAATTTTCATAAATTATAATTTCCACTATAATTTACATTAACAAAAACCAGATTTTTTTATGTTAAACTTTGCTTCAGAATTGTTTGACTTACATACTTTACAAGTCAACTATTCAAACTGGAGCTGGTTAATGAGAGATGCCATCAAAATGGTAACAAACAAATATTTGACCAATCAGCAGAAATATGAGTTTTCTGTGACGTAATATCTGCCAATCCCCTATATATTAATTTTGGAGCATTACAGTATGTTTTTGTAGTCACGTGTCACCACTAGAACCATTCTTAGAATTTTTAGAAAAATTAGTTGGTCCATATAAATATATACTATATTTTTTATTAAACTAACTATTAAAATAATTAGCAGTGCACAAAAAATATATTTTCTTTCTTTACTAAAAGCTATGAGATTAACTAATATGATTAACATATATATGCAATTAATGATTATGAATTATACATACTTTTTTCTAATTTTATATTATTAAAATAAATTAAAAAATTACATTAAATATATAATAAAAATGTAATTTTTTTCTTATATTTTTGAATTTTTTAAAACGGCCATAAATTACTAAAAATAATAAAAGTCCTACATTGAAAATTTTATGATCAATGGTTTAACTTTATTTTTTCCAAGCAAAATACAAATTATCATAAATCGTACCAATATAAAATCTCATTAGTATATATTCATATTAGATATATGTATATATATATATATATATTTATATCACTTAAATAAAATTATATACTATATAAAGTATATAAATATGTTAATTTAAAACTTTCCCATTAGCCGTGGGCGGTCGGGGCGTTACAAGATGAAAAAATGTTTAAAATCTTAATATTTTAGCTTGACTAGGTTAAGATATAAATATACAAGGTAGAAAATTAAATCACTTATGGAAATTTAATAGTAACATACTGAGAGCAGAAAACCTAATAACTTTTTGTCATTTTATCGCAAAACTGAATTTATTTTTATGCATATGAAGTCTTAAAAATAATTAAAATGAGCTATACTTTGTTTTTGTTTCCAATCAAGATACAAATTCTCATAAATGGTGCAGATATTAAATCTCATTAGTAGATATTCATATTATATATATATATATATATCAGTTAAATCAAATTATATACTATATTAAATATATGTTAATTTAAAATTTTCAGTGAAAAATGTTTAAAATCTTAAGATTTTAGCTTGACTAGGTTAAGATATAAATATACAAGGTAAAATATTAAATCACTTATGAAGAGTCAATGGTAAAAAAATCAAGAGCAGAAAAGCTAATCTCATTTTGTCATTTTATGGCAAAAAACAATTTTTTTGTACATATGAAGTCTTAAAAATAATTTATTTTACCTTAAGCCGAAGTACATACCTAAATCTGAACCAAAAAAAGAAACCAAATCTGGATTCGAGCCGTTATAAAAAATATCCGAACTGAACTTATGAACTTAGTACTTTGGGTTTTGGTTATAATCTGAGATGAACCAAAATTTGAACTATGATATGTAGAATATGTTAATGTTTTATATATGTTAAGATAACTTATATATATTGTAGTATTCGAAATATTTTTCTAATTTGTTTTGTTGTTTTTGTAATATCTTTTAATTAGTTTAGATAGTTTAACTAATTTTCAGTTAGATTTATGAATAATTTAAATATTTTGAATTTTTTTGTCAACTTTTGAGATTTAAAAATATATTTTGGGATGATTTCAGATATTGGTTACAATTTAATCCAAACTAAATTGAAAGGAACCAAACCGAATCTAATCCGATAATTAGTAAAATCCGAATGAGACTTATGAGCATAATACCAAAATCTAAAAATACTTCTCAACCAAATCAAAACAGACAAAGTCTCAAACGTACAAGAATATGATAATTTAAGATACCAACATTTATATTCATCATTTTACACTTGATAAATATTGTAGTGTTAGAAAATGTTAAAACCATTTAATGAACAAACATCAGTATCTATTCTATTTAAAAGGAGGATATCCTCAAAGGGGAGGCTGTCCACCTAGATAAAGATAATCGACCAATAGAATTATCTCGTTTGGCCATGTCACACTCAAAAAGCTTTCATGGTTGTGTGTAGCTTCACATCATGTTGCTTTGATCTCTACTAAAGTTTATGCATCAAAGTTTTGTCAGTCATATAATTATGTCTCTATTGGTAGAGGTTGTAGTTTTGATTTTGTTTTGTTTTAAAATTTAAGATGCATGTTTTGTGGATGTAACTTTAGATTATATTGCTATAGGTTTACTTTAAAGTTAAAAGCATTAAACATAAGGTTGTAGAAAAATGATTTCTAGAGCCAATATATTTCTTTCTATAATTTTGGGTTGTAACTTTAGATTTTCTTAGTATTTTATTTTATTGCTCTAGAGAGAATTAAAATTGAGTATATCACTCATTGCCATTATCAATCACCCCATTAAGTATTTAAATTCAAATGATTTGACTTTCAAACTTACATGTTAAATTTGATTTCCCTAAAATTTGATTTTTAAAAAATTATTATAAATGAACTGTTTTAATGATTAATATGTTAAGTACATGGCATGTTAGAAACATGTCTAAGAAATGCAAATTTTACCATTTTACTTATTCATGATTATTGATCATGTCAATTATTATTCATATCTCAATAACAAAATATTAGTCAAAATTAATAAAACAATCATTTTATATTATTAAACAAATAATATTTTAAATAAAATTCTATCAAATATTTATTGCGATGTTTGAAATTTGAATTATGTTGTAGTATATACATATCTACCTAATAAAAATAACAATCATACGTAAAGATCTTTTCCAAAATATAAAACACAGTTAAACACTATACACATACATTGCATGTTTATTTAATATGACTAAAGAGTATGGTAAAAATATTCATAATAGTTTATATACGTCAAATAACCCATGCAATATTTAAAAGGTGCAATATATTATATAAAAATATAAATACAGTTATACAAAATTTATATATTTATATTGGTAGCTAATTAAAACATACATTATTATGTAACTATAACAAAAGATAATGATACTATATTACAGTTACAAAGATTTTAGATTGCTGCTTAGAAAAAAAACAAATACTTGGTTCGAAAGACATACCAAAATTCTTTTACCAGTTTCAGGCAGCAAATATGATGATTTAATGAAACTTTCTACATTAGATTTATAACGTTATAACTCTCCATATCTATATGGATTGAAACACAACCATTATTTATCACAATCAAAATTTATAAGTATATTCTAAACTCTAACTAATAGAAAAAACTGTTCATAATAATAAAATAAATTTAGAGTTAACAAACTTTAGAATATGTAATCGGCTTATAATAAAAGTTGAAAGTTAACAAATTTAGAATATGTAATCCGCGCGAAACATGGAAAGTAGTCTAGTTACTAGAAAAAGTTCACTCCACCCATACACGGAGATTATCATCTAGTTTATATTAAAAATATTTATAAATACTTCATAAACTCAGGGTTCTCTTTTGATATTATTAAAGTTAATTTGAGGGATAAATTATGAGTAGAACAATGCTCATCGACTTATATAAAAATATATAAACAACTGTAGAACGATTAAACTTGTAAATTAACTTTTTCATGTTTAAATTTTGTCTGCCAATTTATAATAGAAATCGTTATAAATACTTCATAGACTCGGGTTCTCTTTTGATATTATTAAAGT